AAAAAAACGCAAAAAAACACCGCTTGTTGATCATTCGGTCCTTTCACAGTAGTAAAATTGAAGTATTAATGCATATGTCTCACAGTTAATAATCTAAGAGGAATTAATTGTATTGATTAGACCAATAAACCTCTTGCTATAATTTGGTATAATTTAATTATCACTATTAAACTATCCCCACTATTTTTATCCATTAATTAGTCGGTCCAGGATTCCATCATTTATTTAGTTCAACCTTTGTTACAGAAGTGATCCGATCGGCGACCTCCGGCCTCTTCATCGTTTTCCGGCGTCAAGACCAGTCCGGCAACACCTCCGGCGTTCGTTCCCCCCTTCTCCGGCGATGCGTGGTTCCGACTTTCTTTATCATTCGTTCTCTCTCGCTTTCCTATGAGGAGAAGGTTTGGCTTTCTTCTCTTTTGGTTTTTGCAGCCACGGAGGTATATGGGTTTCATATGCTAAGAAGAGAAGCAGACCCGGAAAAAGATGACTCATCTCGAAGCCAAAATGTACCACACCGAAACTAAAAGAGATTTTGAATGTGTTCATATTCCCACTTGAAAGAGCCTTGTTCACTTGTTCTATCTTTAACAACTAAGTAGATTATTCATCTGCTGCACCATCTGTCTGAACATCATTTCAAATCATATCAATGTATTTGATTTAATATCATGTACAACATGATTACTTCGTTACTGATTAATGTTTTTGAATAATACTATAATCTTTATTTGTATTACATGAAGGTACCTCTACATACAATAATACTCGCTTCGTCTCGTTAAAATTGTCCCGATTAATGTTTTTGATCCGTCCCGTTAAGATTGTCTCGTATCAAATTTGGTATCAATCACATAAACATGTCTATATTGATATGCGTGTCACCCCTCATGTCCCAATGTTAGAGCATTTCCAATAAGAATGTGAATTGCATCCCATAAAAAATGGACACATCATCAATACAAAAATAGCCTGTCAAGATGACATGGATAGACAAACCATTAAAATTAGATTTTATTGTCACCCTCTATGTGTACACTTTTGCATATTCCGATACACTTTTCGAATAAATTTTTTATTGAAATTTCTTCATAATTACAAAAATGTCATTGCGTTTCTAACTTAAAATTTGATATTTTTCATCCATTTTTTCACACCAATGGCCAAGATTAGTTCTTACTTTTCACCAAAGAAGTACTTTTTATTTGAACCAAACTCTATATATATCACAAATATTCTTGTCCGACCAGGCCGGACAGGAGTGTAGTTCGGCCACCTCAATTTGAGGTGGTTCCCGGTGGTATTTTTTGTTGAATTTTTTTGTGTATTTTCTTCATCAAGTCTAGTTCATCCATACCAAATTAGAGCAAAAACTTCAATTGGGAAGGCAGTCAAATGATCCTGTCCAGCATCCCCCGGTACGAACACCGTCCGAACATCGCCATTTGGGGCACTTCCCAGTGGAATTTTTTGATATAATTTTTTGAGCATTTTTCTCATCAAGTCTAGTTTGTCCATACCAAATTTCAGTTCAAAATTCGATCGGAAAGACAGTCAAATAAGTCGTTGAAATTAACTGCATTTTTCTATGTATAAATTAGTAGGTGTTTAGCTCCTGGGTATAAACCTTTTCGTCCTTCATCATTTGGACAATTTTCTGGACAAACCTTTGCATAGCCATCTGAATGAAAGGTTAACTTTTAGCATATACCCCATAAGCTTTAGTGCATAAAAAAAAACGCACAAACATTGAGAGAGAGACCTTGAAAGGTTCACTATTGGATCGAGGTGAAAGTTGAGCCAAACAGGGATCCCCCGAAATGGAAATAATTAATTAAGCTAAATTGGAAACATTGGGAGAAAACTTTAAAGGGATAAGGGTCAGATAGGGCCTCGAACTTACAAAAAAAAATATCAAATAAGGTCATATATAAGATGCTCTGTACGTCCGACGCCATTTGGAGTGGTTAACGGTTAAATTTTTCGATGAAATTTTTTGAACATCTTATTCGTTAAGTCTAGTTTACTTGTATCAAATTTGAACTAAAACTTCAATCGGGAAGGCATTCAAATGAATTCTTGAAAATAACTGCGCAGTTAAAAGCGCATTTATCTTCAAGAATTTATTTGAATGCATTCTCGATTGAATTTTTAGTTCAAATTTGATATGACTAAACTAGACTTAATGAATAAGATTCTCAAAAAATTTCATCAAAAAATTCCATCGGGAACCACCCCAAATGGCGTCGGCCGGACAGATCATCTTATATAAGACTTTATTTGACATTTTTTTGTAAGTTCGAGACTCTATCTGACCTTTATCCCAACTTTAAAATAAAATCTAAAAAACTGAAAAGTTAATTGAAAAATCACCCAAACTTCCAATCTCCACATACATCCCTGCTTTCGGTATTAGCTTTATGAGGCGAAAGTGTCGAGCTGGTGATAACAAGGAACGGGAAAAAAGCAACCCGTAGCAGAAAAATGGAAAAGCAAATACTGTTGCGACTGTTTGGGAATCGAGGTGGATGATCGGTAACGCCGAGGACTCGCTCTTCTTCAGCCATAATAAGATGAGATATGGAAGCAGATAAGATTAAGAAGATCGCATTTCGAAGCCTCCCACACCTAAACTAAAAGGGGTTTCAAGTGTGTTTATAAGTCCGCTTCAAAGCTTCTAATTTGCCTTCACTATTAGTTGTGTCTTTAATTATGAATCAAGTATGCTCACTAGCTCCTCCAATCAATTTATATTATCCTACATTATAAAGTGATGTAGGAGGGTATAAAGTGATCGGAGGAGTTAGTGAATATATTCAATTCTATGTTATAGACTATTTTTTTGAACAATATTAGTCCTTCACTCGTGCAATATTAGTCTTTCATCTATGCAACGATATTAGTTTTTTTTTTATGAAAGGTAATTTTATTAGACACCCAAAAATAACATCATACAATGTATCAAAACTATCTGGCTAGCTATTCTAACTAAAAATAATATCTATGCAACGATATTAGTCTTTCATTTGTGTGTTACACGGGATACCAAATCAGTCAAAAGTAGGGATGGTAACGGGGCGGTTCGGAGTCGGGTATACCATGACCTGTACCCACCCCATTTGATAATATTTTTCCCCGAAACCACCCCGTTACCCGTCAGGTAATTTTTTATCCGTGGGTAACCGTTTTATTAAAAAATAATTTTTTTCTTCAAAATTAGTATACATCCTAAAATGACGATTAACTGCTTATAATTGACCACCTAAATTAAAAAGTCAAAATTAAATAGCACCACCCTAAAGTTTTTTAAAACATCACAAAAAATTACAATCGTTTGAACCTAATATTCGCAAATTATATATGTCTAGATTCAAAATTATGAATCTTTTACCACATCAACATCAAAAGATTAAGTCTTGTCTCGATAGTAAAATCTACATATGAATCACAAAAACATTTAACTTCCAAAATTTCAATAATCATACACCACCAGCATTCAATATCTAAATTTAAGAACAATAGTGTATACAAGTAACATAATGAAAATGAGAAGTTTTTTTCGCACGTTAAATAGTGTAATAATCATAACAAGTGATAATAGAGTTACTTTTCCTATTATGTTGGCTGAAATGGCTAAAGTGGATTGTTTAGTTATTTTTCACATGAATTTTTCTTTATTTTATTAATAAAGTATATGAAGTATTATAAATAGAATTTTAGATATTACCTGAAATAGGACTAAAACAGTTTAAAAATTCCAAAATAGGACTCACATATTTTTATTCCCAAAATAGGACTAATTACTGCCATGTTTTGGCAGTACCATAATTCAAACATGTCCGTATTTTCTAAACATGGCAGTAATTAGTCCTATTTTGGGAATAAAAAACATGACAGTCCTATTTTGGAATTTTGAAACTGTTTTAGTCCTATTTCGGGAATTTTCCCATATAATTTTTCATAATTCAGCCATTTCACCCACAATTTTACATATTTCTGTGTTACCAAATGTGCTCTAGAATTTATTGACCATATGAGAGATGGTAAATGAAATTAATGTTGTTAGAAAACAGTCTTTCAAAATGTATTAGATTTAACTTGTGGAGTAGGGATACTATAATTTGAAATAAAAAGAATTTTACCTCCCTAACTATCTTGCAAGAGATACATAAACGCCGAAATATGCTAAAAAAATTTTGAATGGCCAAAATGTATTAATTAAGATCTTGTTTGGTAGCAACTATTTTGGTTTATCAGCCTATTGCCCTATTCTCCATTTTACCCATGGGTAGGGATGGACTAAACCGGCCCGGCCCGACCCGGAACTGGCCCGGCCCGTTACTGTTTGGGCCCGGACCGGACCGGGACCGGTTGGCCGGTTCCGGGCTTTTAGCCCGTTTGGGCGGGTCGGGCGGTCCGGGCTCGGGCCCAACTTTTGGTGAACCGGCCCGGGCAGGTCGGGCCGGGCCCGGTTCAATTTTTTTTCAATTTTTTTTTGCTTTTCTAGGTTAGGGTTGGGTGTTTTGGGGGGGGGGGGGGGTGGGGGTGAAGGGGGGGGGGGGTCGGATGTTAATTAGAAACCACAAAGAAAATTGAACTTGACCTGGGCCCGGCCTGACCCGGTTAGGCCCGGACCCGGTATCAACCCGGGCCGGTTCCGGGCCCAACATTTTGCAAAAAAAGCCCGCCCGGGCCTAGCCCGGAACCGGAACCGGACCGGCCCGGGTCCATCCCTACATAAGCATATGAAAAAAGATAAAGTGGAAAATTACGATGCTTAATTATATCTCATTTTGTTTTGTGGGTTTTAACTTATTTATTGTGTACATTTGGTTTGGTTTTGAGTGATACATCTCTAGTGCATGAATTATTGTAATTGATGGCAATTAGCATTTTCATCGTGGTCAGAAAACTAATAGTTTATATTAATTAGGATATTTGTGTATTTTCGCGACTACTATTTTATTATAAATATATCTGTCATAGCTCATATTGGAACACGGCTTTCCCATTATTCTCACATGGTATTGACTATTGAGTCTAACCTAATATTTTTTCTCCCCTAAGATTTCTGCCGCACACCTGCGCGGCTGCGCCTCCTCCATGGAGTCAGCCGCAGCTCTGGACTCCACCAGCGGTTCTTCCATCGCTGCCGTACCTCCAACGGCGTCGGTAAACATCACTCCCACCACTGCTATGACGACGCCACCGTTTTCCCCTTCCTCCCTTCTTGTCAATTTTTCCGGCGGAGCTATTACTTCATCGATTCAGAGGCCAGAGTCGTCAACCTTGTTCTCTAATTTTCCTCCGCCGCCATTCTTCCCGACGGCAGAAAACTATTCCCTGTTTCAGTCTATGCCACCTAGGCCTACTACGCAACCGGCTGTGCATCGATCTGGTGAAACTGATTATTCACCTGCGCCGCCTGCTTCCCCTTCTTCGGCTCTACTTTCTCCAGCACGCTAGGCGTAATTAGGGATGGACTAAACCGGGCCGGCCCGACCCAGAACCGGCCGGCTCGTTACTGTTTCGGCCCGGACCGGACCGGGACCGGTTGGCCGGTTCCGAGCTTTTAGCCTGTTTGGGCAGGTCGGGCAGGCCGGCCTCGGGCCCAACTTTTGGTGAACCGGCCCGGGCGGTTCGGGCCGGGGCCGGTTCAAAATTTTTTTGTTTTTTCAATTTTTTTTGCTTTTCTGGGTTAGGGTTGGGTGTTTTGGGGGGGTTTGGGGGTGGGGGTGAAGGGGAGGGGGGGTCGGGTGTTAATTAGAAACCAAAAAAAAATTGAACTTGACCCGGGCCCGGCCCGGTTAGGCCCGAACCCGGTATCAACCCGGGGCGGTTCCGGGCCCAACATTTTGCAAAAAAAGCCCGCCCGGGCCCGGCCCGAAACCGGACCGGACCGGACCGGGTCCATCCCTACCCATGGGGACAAACGTCCCCACGTCTTGAAAAAAATAATACATGACCATGGTGCTAAAATAACTTTTTATACGAAGTTTGGGGTATTTAAATTACATATGCAAGTTTGGGGTGCTTATCTCACACCCATCAATGTTTGGAGTATTTTAATTATTTTTCTCTTTTTCTCTTTATAATAATAAGTGAATTCATTGAGATAATGCTCCATTGCTCCGTATCAAATTTGCAGAGAAACTGTTGGAGAATTTGAATTTTTCACCCATTGGGCTTCCAACCATCTTAATAAGGCATCTCATTGTTTTTTTGTATTGATATTTGCTTTAAACTTAAATTCTTTGTATTTCACTATTGTATAGAAGTATAAAAAGTATTTCAAAATTTTTAAATCATTCATTTACATTTTGCATTTTACTACCTCCATCTCCCTAATATTGGGACATAAGAGAGTGATGTATTTTTTTTTAAAAAAAGTAGAATTATGTGATTGATAATGAGTTGATAAAGTGAGAATAAAGTAAGAATTAACTAGAACCACACAAATGTTACCAAATATGGTATGAAACAATAAAAGGAGACATACAAAAATGGGAAAATGAGACAATTATAGGGGGGCCAAGGGACGGAAGTACCACTTTTTATGTCCCAAGTTAGTTAAAAGTGCCGAAGGATATGTACAATGACACAGCATCCCAAGTGGAGCAATAAATACATAGAAAAATAAAACACTCCATCATATGAATCATGAATTTGGGTTGTGATTTTTATCTAATCTACTCAAATAATCTTATTCCAACTATATCAGTCATGTGCAGTATATGACAGACCACAATCCAATAGAGAGGAAGAAAACGGTAGATGGATATACAAAATGAATTGAATTAGTCTAACAATATTACTATCCTAAATATAAATATCTATAGGTAAGTAAGCGTTCTTTTAACAACCGTGATTCCAGATGGATTTCCGCCTATCTCCTCAAAAACCACCAGCAGGTTGTCTGTCTGTTTTAGCCAGGACCGCGGAACATGATACCTAAAAAACAAACTCATTAGAAAGAAGGCGTGAATGGACGAAAAAAAAGGGTTGTGTTATAGTGTGATTCAGTATTCTTGTTTACCATTGTTGTGTAGGCCGGCCGCAACCGGATTGGCACTTTGGGGATCGGTACGTCCCTCGATATGTGCAGACGCTGCAATTTCCAACTGCTGAGAGAGTCCAATACCTACCAATGCTTTGGCCATTGATCCAAACTTCACCCTTTCCCATACTGCCCATGTCCAATGCCAATGGCTCATTTCCTTCAGGACTATTGAAATAAGACTGCAAAAAAATAAAAAAGAGCTTGGTCTTTTCCATATCTACAAACCAATCCTGTAAGAACTGTGCCACAGGACAAAATAGAACGTCACCCCCTAGTTGGAGATGAATTCGTGTTAGGTGTACATTAGTTGTCGAGTCGTGAAAATTTGCATGGCCTAGATGAGGTATTGGGTCATTAAGGTATGTGCCCTAATGACAACTTGCGTGGTTATCAAGTTCAAAAGGTGTGTACCTCTATGGGATGAAAAAAATAAAAATTGTAGAATCTATATGAGGTCTCTGGTTGTGATGGACGTTGAAGAGTTTGTTTCATGTACGTTAAATATGAAATAGCAAACTAGTATTTAATTCGCTAATCATGCATTCATGCGATCAATCTGAGCATGCCATGATCACGCAAAGACCATTGGCTCCATCTTAAAAGTTCAAGCATAATCCATAATATGAGGAATAATAGCCTTATATATTAGTTTGATTTTCTTATATTTCATGAATAAAGGAATGACAAATTTCTTACTTCCCAAATGAATAAAAAAAGATCAATCTGACATTGTAATGTTAAAATACAAGCAAACTCTATCATTGCATACCTTATACCAAGTCAGGGGCTGTTGCTGCACAGCTAAGGACCCTTCAACCCATCCAACAGATGAAATTCCATTTGGTGAAACTACGTTAGATGCTTCACCTCTCAAACCTACCTGTATAAATAATTATAAAGATGCAGTTAAACGGACTCCCAAAGCAAAGCAAAGCAAAGCAAAGAAGAATGCTTATATGATTGTCACCTGATAAGACCATTTCTGCCAAGATAAGTCCCTAGGTCCATTGGGTAGTCCATGCAATACAACGGGTCCAATGATTCCTGTGTGCCGTTTTTCGTAATACGCACCATCATTCTTCAAAGACAAATATAAAGAAACCAAAGCAATTTAAACATATATATTTCAAAGATGTAATAAATGAGTCCATGTGGCAGAATCTGCTTTTCATGGGAAAGGAGCTAACCGGCAATCCAATTGCTACACTGAGGAGAGAAATTTGGTTCACTCCAGATTGCAATGCGACATTCAGTGTATATTTGAACTCTGGGTGATCTTTAGTTCCATAAGCTGACCCTGCTATTCAATCAAGACAATGTGTGTGGAGCTTCTAATTGTTTTACACTAAGGGTATGTTTGGATCCTGGAAAATGCTAGGGGGAGATTGTTAAGAAAAGTCATTTTCTTCTGTTCGGTTTGGTGGTTTACCACCAAAAATGAAAAGTATTACGGAGTATTACTTTTTGTAATTTTCTTAAACATTCTTAGATCTTTTAGTGTTTATATAAATTATAATGGTAATAGGTAAATAAAATGAGTTCGAACAAATATATAAAAAAATATTAAGTTTAGCACATGTTTTAGTTTCCCTTGGCATTTTCTTTTCTTCCAAATTCCCCAAATTTTTTCTTGTTCCCTATCCCTTGCAACTTCCTAGGCCCAAACAGACCCAAAACTAAATATTTATTAGGATTTCATAATGAGAGAATGCAATTGGACCTGAGAATCGCCCGTTGACAAAGACATGCAATGCATGGCCTGCTGACTGCACTGTGAGAACTGGCTGTTGTCCTTGGATGAATTCAGATGGACTCATCTTAACACTGAAAAGTTCATCACAGTCATTCTCAAAACACTAACCTGTTTGAAATGGCTTCTTATTCTCTGGATAAAGAAAACACCCAGGGAATTGAATGTAATGCCCAAGTTAGGGATAAAAAAAGTTAGGGTGTGTTTCCATGGAGGGTTTTAAATCTGTTAGGAGAGGAAGGTTTTTCTTTGGGGGAGGAGAAGAAGGTTTTATGTTTCTAAATACAAATAAAATGTGATTAAAATATTTCACTATCACATATTATGTAAGTATTTGAATTTAAAAAAAATCACGGATATTAAGATATGAACTAGCCCTCCAAACTTTTTAGTTCTAAATCCTTCCCCACAAACACACATTAGAAAATAGGATATTCCTGAGAATCCTCAATTCCCAAAGGTTTGTTGTGAACATGGAAAACACTGGGCGGAGACAATAGGAGCGAAGCACAGAAGAAATTTGGAAGGAAAGATAATGTGGGAAAATAAAAGGCATGCTAAATCTTCCTGTAATAAATTTATATTAGATATATGTTATTTATGCAAATTATGTCTAAGTTAAAACCATGCATTGGAAAATTATGTCTTAGCATATGTTTTCCTTCCGCTGCAGTTTAAAATGTCCAAACACACCCGAATGGTGGAATGGTGGCAGGAATAAAAACACTTCCATCTACTATGAGTTTCATTCCTAGCTAGAATGGTTTTATTTAAATCTTACTATATTATTTCCGTTGACGACGTCATTTCAAATGAGGCTTACTGAGGGCGGTCCTTACCTGGTGCTGTACCAAAGATAATCACTGCTATCCCTGGTGACATTTAATTGCTCCAACAGACCACTAACAGTAAGCTTTGAATCACTATCTTCATTAAATATGTCTTCAGTAAATGTTGCCCAGGAGAGCGTTGGCATGTTAGTGGGCAACATCTCCACCTCAGATTTCTTCACTTCCACCTACATTGGACCAAATAGTATATAAACCCCGGGAAAGAAAAGGTAAAGAAAATATGTTTTTAAATAAAAAATATTTCTTAAGAAGTTAGAAAAACATTTGAAGATTCACTTGTGCTATAAGCTCTTCTTAAAGATGTTTTTTCTTCCTGTAAAAAGAACTTATTCTTTTACCAAAAAAAAGCCATCCCAAACGTGCACTGACTTGTGGAAATATATATTGTTGCTTCACTAACCGTGGCAGTGTTGAATACAGCATTTTTGCAATCTGGAAGAATCGAGGTTGACCAAGGTGGAAGTGTATATTGCATCTTATTGAATGTCACAGTGGCTGATGAATTCAGATGGAAATTTGAGAGAAAAGCAGCACACTCTCCGGACGTGGAAAATACATGTGCCTGTAAAATGGGAGACATTGAAGGGCTTGTAATGTCTAGATGACAAAATGGGAACTTTGGACAGTCCAAAATATATTAATACCTCTCATTCTTACAAGGCATTACTCTTTTTATAAGACTGTTTTTTCTATGAAGTATTTGTTCTGCTATTTTCAATTTGCCCCAAATAAATATTGCAGTCGGGTCTATTTATTAAAGAAATTATTTACTAACGAGATAATAAATGATGATGAAATTGAAATATCTTAATATTTACAGAACTCAAGAGAACTTGTTATATTCCTTGGTTTGTGTAAACTGTTCAAATCTGCCTTATAAAATTGGGTCGGGGGGGGGGGGGGGGGGGGGGGGGATCTAGCATATACTTTCTCTAGTATTACCAAGGAATAGAAATTACCTCTAGGTAGCTTCCTAATTGTGTAATAGTTGGATCTGCATTGACTAAAGCTTTCTCACTTAACTTAATAGCATTGTGAAAGTTCTTCAAATGGTCATACTTGGGCTGTCTAATTAAACCTATTCCATATATGGGAGAAACATCAGTTAAAAATCAAAACGAGTGTTTCAAGAGATGGATTTACACTGTATACTCTTACCATATTCATCAATAGGAGCATCATAATCATAGCTGGTAGTAAGAAAAGGGCCTCCTGCTGTTCTTCCAAAATTGGTTCCTCCATGATACTTTCAGAAGAAAAGAAAACGAAACAAGACGTGCTGGCATCTCAGTAATAATAACATTCTATTAAGATTATATATGGTGTGTTTGGGTGGCCCCTAAATCACTTTGAGAGAATGTGACTGACCATGTAATAATTCACAAAGGAGCCTCCTTTTTGGATGAAACGGGCTACTGCGAAGGCCAGATCTTCAACAGGTCTGTGGTGAATTGCGCTTCCAAACTCTTCAAACCTTGTGAAGCATAAGTTTAAGGAAAAAATTACTTGACATATATCTTATTAAAGATATCACAATTATGATTTTTCACTGATTAAATATTACCAGCCACTCCATGCCTCCGTCCACAGTTTGGGTTTGTAAGGCTTGTTAGGAGAAAAATAATCACAATAAAACCCATTACAAGAATTTATCTGTTGTCAAATGTGAAAAACAAGGAATACATTTTTGTTAGATCATTTAAATGGAATCAATACAAAAAACAATAAAAATTCACTATTTGCTCGAACAAATATTTTTTCCTTTCTTGGGAGAAGCTTCCACTTGGGTAAAAAAACACATAACAAGAACAGCTAGTTACCTTAATGAGATTCTAAACACACTCCCCATTATAGCTAGGATGATTTAAGGCAATAGATTATTATTAGCCCTGAAAATGAGAGACTAACTAATAAGAGTTTGAAACACGGCTTACCACTGCATCTGGTGCATCATCTTCCTTGCACATAACCCATGGGACTCCAGTTTTAAGACCAACCGACATATTTGCAGCCCAAGTCATGTAGTCATGCCCGCCAGCCCCATAAGCTTTGCTTGCTAACCCATACTCATTCTCAATCTGCATCAATTTTTACTAACAAAATTATATCAATCTAACCAAGCAGTAACCACTATTTAACTTCCCAGAATTATTTAAAAAATCATCTTTTTTTATTTATCCTTTAAAAAATCCCATGTAAATTTAAGGTAGCAACAAAGTTAGCTTCACATGAGTAAAGATGGAAACTTTACCTGTGAGAGAATGATGGGGCCACCCTGTGACTGAAAAAGGTTTTCATCCTTCATCATTTGGACAATTTTCTGGACAAACCTTTGCATAGCCATCTGAATGAAAAGGTTGACTTTTTAGCATACACTCCATAAGTTTTAGTGCAAAAAAGAAACACACACACAAACATTGAGAGAGAGAGACCTTGAAAGGTTCACTATTGGATCTGAAAGTGGAGCCAGGAACAAATTTCAGCCAAACAGGAATCCCCCTGAAATAGAAATATTTAATTAAGCACAGAAAGTGGAAATATTGGGACAAAAGTTTGAAATAAAATCTAAATAACTAAAAAGTTAATTGAGAAATCACCCAAACTTCCACTCTCCACAAATATAAGGCCCAATGCGAAGATGCACATACATCCCTGCTTTCTGTATTAGCTTTATGAATCGAACTAAATCATTTCTACCCTCGAAATCATACTGAAACAATGAGAGGAGAATTTCACACACACACACAAAACATAAAAAATTAAGCACAACAACAGTATGCAAGAAAAATCAAGAAAAGAAACGGAAAAATCACAGCAGCAGTACATTGCCAGGTGAAGGTTCATGATTGTTCCAGAACACATAGGTATCAATAGCATCCAAGCCTCCATCTTTAGCTTTCTGTATGAGGCCCTCCCACATCTACAGTATTCACATTATATATTTTTAAGGACATATATTCCCTCCAATTGCCTTGCTTCACCAAAATTTCTTTGGGGGGAAATGGATAAAGTTGAGAGCTTTAATTAATACCTCAGGTGTGCTTCTTGGGTAATGAATGGACCCAGAGAGAAGAATTCTTCTCTGGCCATTGATGATGAGAGATTTATTGTCATAAGTGACGCTGCAATGAATGTTCTGAACGGTGGCAAGAACCAACACTAAGCCCAGCAAAACCCAATTTTGAGGTTTCATTTTATCTGCTTTTATTGTTCAGGCTACTACTGACAGAATGTTTTGGGTATTCAATATGGGAATTTAAAGCTGCTTCCAACAAGCACAAATCTCATCCTGCCGGTCACTCTCATAAAAAACTGTTTTGCTCATTCAAGAAACCGTCTTATATATAGAGGGGATGGGGAGAAAGAGGGTATTTTAAGCATGACCAGAAAGAAGTAATCACAATCTTGTTTTAGTCATCTACTCTAATGGCGTTTTGATAGTACTTTCGTTTTGCGCAGTTTTGATGATACCCAGGTTTCCTCTAAATCCGCCTGTTACCTAGCTTTAAATTTTTACCGGTGGTAAAAAAAATGAATTTCAAATTTAGGTCCTGTTTAGCATTGTACTAGTCCATACGGTTTGCGGAGTATGAGTAACTTGACTCAGATATTCTCCATCTGTCCGCTAACAATGGGTGACACGTAAATCAATAAAAAGTGTTTTAGGTTGTTGATATTGAATTGATAAATTAAGAATAAAGTAAGAATGATTTAGAGTCACATAAACTTTGCCAAATTTGGTATGGGACAATCTTAGTGGGATGAACCGATAAGGTAAAACGGGGCAATCATAACGGGACGGAGGTAGTAATATACGGAGTACTATCGTACATCCTATTATGGAGTACATGAAAGCATTACTTAGGATTCTTAAGACTTTTTTAGTTAGGCGATTTTTCGTCCGAGACCAGATCAGACCAGACCAAATAAGATTGGATCAGACCAAAATTGAATGGTTATAAAATACATAGGGATTAGAAATTTACCAGACCAGACTAGACCAGTTCATGTCAGATCAGATCCAAAAATTTCAGTTCAAATAAAAACATCGAGGAAATTGATTTATTCACTTTTGTAATTTGAACTATTTTTAATTCAAACTTTTGTATTTGAATATTAAAAGCAATATTCTTCATTTTAGTGCTTGACGGACCAAAACTATTTTACGCTCAACATTTACAACAACAAAAAATCAAATACAAGAGTGCCCTAAACAATCAAGGTATTACACATTTGACCAACTGTTTCAAAGTAAAAGAAAAATTCCATTATTCGAAAATTGCTTCTATAGACGTTCATTAGTACGACTGTACGGTGAAGGATGACAGACATTAGATGAGACATGTAGTGATACCTTGTACTCCCTCCACATTGTCTCATTCTAAATTCGGTAAAATTTGTGTGACTCTAAATCATTTTTACTTTATTCTTACTTTATCAATTCAATATCAATCACACAAATCTACTTTTCTTAATAATCGTGTCACCTTCTCTTGTCTCAATCTTAGCGGGACGGAGGTAGTAGTAGCAGGGGTTGAGACAGTGGGGCTGGCAGTGGCCACAGCCCCTGCAAGAAAAAATTTATGATGTATTTATATATGTATAAATATTTATATGTAATAAAAAATATAGTGAAAATTTAAATTTTGGCCCCTGCTATATAAATTCCTTAAACCCCGACCCCTGTAACCTGTCAATCCTGGCTCCGCCACTGAGTAGGAGTATAATTTATTACTTCTTCCTTTTTTCTCTTCTAATTTTTTATCTTTCTTTTTTAGGTATTTCAAAACTTTACTAATTTTCTTTTTTAATCAATTAATCTGTAGTTCCTATTATTTCTCACTCTTCTATACAAACCTCAGTCATACACAATGGTGAACGCGTGATTTCTCAATAGGAAGGGTGGTCGTGTAAACAATGCATAATAATATATATACATAGATATTAAAAAATTGAATATTTATATCAAGTAGGAAAAAGGTGTGGTCACTTTCCCCTTTGCGCCAATGATGTAATTGTTACTTTATTATTTCTCGTGTCAATCAAATTTGACAAAGTTTTGAAAGATATAAGTAGAGATTATTTTTTTTAGAGTGATATAAGGAGGAATTATATTATATATTATTTCACTTCTTTTTAATAACAATAATTTGATTTTCAAATTTATCTATGCAAATGAAATTGCGTGCATTTTTAAATATGCTACGTATAAAGTACGTAGTATAAACAACCCCGTATATGTAGAACACGTAACAAAGCTGGTTTATTATTTTATTACTTCCTCCGTCCCATAAAATTCTTCTCACTTTTCTTTTTTGGCCATCCTAAAAAACTCTTCCCACTTACCATTTTTGGACAATTTGTGTGGTTCACATTCATTTCACATTTTTCTTACACAACCACAGCCATACATTTCCATTTTCTTAATCTCCATGTCAAGTCAAAGTGGAAAGAATTTTGTGGGATGAAGATAATACTACGTATCTATTCATAAAAAAGTAATGGTAACGACCATTGCGTAGGTGAACCATTTTGGAAGCAAACTAACCGAATACACTGCCCGCTTGCCGCCGCAATAATATTAGTTTATACGGTTCAAGTCATAACCAGCAAGCACCCATTACTTTATAGTCCAATGTAGAGTAATTATAATTATTATACAGTTGAATTGGACTTTGCCCTCTCCCAATAACGTAAATGAAAAAATAAAAATTACATCTATGTGATTGAAATTTGGGTAGAAGAGCAAAAAAAATAAGCAGAACAAAAGTTATTAGCTTTAATTTGAAGCTGACAATTTTTTTGACACAATCAAATCGAGTAATTATAAGCTTTAATTCTCTGAGTGGCAAATTAAAAGTTGCTAAATTTTGACAGAAATTTCCCTAAATCATAATCTCTACTGTTTTTATAAGCTTTAATTCTCTGATTTGCCAATTAATTTACACTTTACTAAAACCAAAATGCAACGTTATAGTAATACAAATGATCTACGTAGTATTTAGTAATAACAATTATTGGGACAGATATATTTTTTGAGGGCAAGTTAAAATATTCGATGGGGGCAAGTTATTTTTAGATATACATGGGAAAATGGATTTGGTCGTTTGGATGTCGATAATAATAGGAAAAATTGAAAATAATAATACCAACTATTACCGATCCGCTATTAATAATCTCAACTATCGATTATTTATGGGTGGTCCCAACTATACATACCATTTTCCAAAAATAGTCTCTAACCTTCTACAACCTGCTATAGCAGGTCAAATTTAAATGCGAACTATTCATAAGTTATAAATAATTTCAACTATGGTTGATCTTCTTTTATTAATCCTAATTATCAACTCTCAATTTTAGAAAAATATAAAAATATTTTTATGAATTTCCAAATTAAATATTTTTAAACATGTAAAAATTATTATGAAAATTCTACAAATGTACCGAAGTTAAATAAAATATATTTAGTCTTTTTTTATTTATTTTCACTAAAATTTCATTTTTTTTCTTTTTTTGAATTTATTATTCCTATGTGCATTAACAAGTTATGCTTTGGTAATATTTCCCTGTATTCAATTTTACATTTTCTGTTTTTAGAAAGTAAAATGTGACTAAAAATTTTATGATTGAAAGCTTTATTCTAGTTTTTTCATGAAAAGATATTTTATATAATTTTTAAGCTATGTTAATTCTAAAAATCGAAATTCTCTATTGATGGTCTCTGATAGAGGTAAAAGTCTAGAGGGGGGTGAATAGAGTTTTAAAACTTTTTCAACTTTAAAAACTTTTTCTTTTTAGATGAGTTTAACCTATGATCTTTTGGGAGATTTATAGATACACATCGGAAGTCTTTAACCTCTATATGATCAGTGTGTGACAACTTTCTAGCTTGGGTGATGTTTGGACTTATATAGTGAGCAGTAAGCTTGCCGGTTGGCTGGATAGCAGGAAATTGTGGAGGTAACTGCTGAGGAAATATTTAGTGTGTGATGAAAGTGAAGATAGAATGTTGCTTAGAATGATTAGGGCTTTCTCGAAATGTGCTGAGGTGAGTATAAGTGAAAGTTTACGAGAGCAGTGGTCTCAGTAGTTGGGTGATCACCAGGGAACTGCTGAGGCACCTGTTGAGTTACAGGCTGATTTTCGGAGATCAGTTTGAACAACTTCTTGGTAATTATGTTATGAAGATCTTGTGACGTTGAGATGTTCAAAAGAAATAAATGTGTAAGAGCAGTGGGCTTAGCAGTTGGGTGGTCACCAGGGAACTGCTGAGGCAACTTCTAAACTTGAGAGAAGAATTCCTGAGATCTGATAAAAATTACCTTATTGCATTTTTAAATTTTCAGTATAATTTTATCAGTCTCAAAAATTGTACATTTATTTGTCACTTTATGATTAGAAGTTTAACACTAATACTTGAATTAAATGAGACACAATGTACAGGTGTAGAGTATAGTGGCATCCTCAAAATCTATCAAAATTGGGTACTAACAATTTCCCCCTTTTTGATGATGCCAAAACTATTCAACACAGGAAACAAATGTTTTTATTGATTTTCAATGAGATTATTGTACATTGGTCTAAATTCTAAAGTACAATACTACCTCCGTCCCTTAAAACTTCACCAAGTTTGACCGGCACAAGGATTAATAAAGTAAAAACTGTGTGGTTGAGATTTGTGCAGAGGAGAGAGAATTAACTCGAACCACAAATTTTTTACTTAAAAGGGAAAGTGGCAAAATTAGTGGGACATCCAAAAAAGGAAAGTTGGCAAAGTTTTAAGGGACGGAGGGAGTAGTTTTTAGTCACTTTCGGACTCGATCAAATCTACTCTTGTTGATTTCTTCTAATTTCTTCTTGGTTTCTTCTTTTGCTCTGGCCTCTTCTTATTTTCTTTTTCGGAATTCCATTTCTTCCCCGTAGAGTTTGTTCTTCCTTCTTGTCTCTGCTGCTTTTCTGGATGCTAGTGATCTTGATGATGAGGGACCTGCTGGTGTACTTTCCCCCTTTTTGGCATCATCAGGGATGTAGCTATCTTCAAAAAGTTCTTCAATTTCTTCATCAGTGTCTTCAGCTCTTCGTTTTGTAGGGTTGAGACCATAAACCTGTATAGAGAGCACTTTGATGTAGTTATGGATGTCCATAAGGTCAGTCTTCACTTCATCTTTGACTTCATGTTCCAAGTCATGAACTCTTTGTTTTGTAGTTTGCAGATCTTGACCTAGCTTCTGGAAGTCACTGCCTTGCCTCCAGAATGTTTCTTGAGTGGCCTTTTGGAGAACTTGGAAGTTGTTAGCAACGTCCTTTGTAAGTTGCTCATAAGCTTGAGCGTGAGCCTGCTGCTCTACGAGGAATTTTTGGGAGAGCTTTAGCATGGTAGGGAACTCCTCATCCTTTAATGTGTTGATATAAGCTTCGTGCTCTTGAATTCTTTGGAGGGCCTGCTCAAGGTTAGGAGGTAAGGAAGGGAGAGAAGGTACCTGGGCAGAGGCCTCTGCGGCTGGTTGGGAGGCACCTGCTATCTCTTGATCCCGCAGTTGCCTGATATAGGCTTGGATTTGGTGCTCCAGTTCTCTGTCTTTTGCCCGTTGATCTGCAAGCTCTTTGTATATGGCTTCTAGCTGAGCTGGCTACCGGGAGAGTTGCATCTTGAGTTGTGCCTTTTGTTCAACATTGTAGACTTGTTGGATCATGAAATTGCTCTTAATGTGGCAATGAACTTCTGCAAACCTCATTTCCAGTAGTTTGTCAAAATGCTTTTGCATTTTGATCAATCTCTTATGAAGCCGAACCTCAGCGTTGCTAATGAACTTGGTGGTTGCCCTTCTTTCTTGTATTCCATTTTCTTCATAGTACTGAATTACTATAGAGTTTAGAAATTCAATACCTCTATCTGACCGGATCTTTTGAATTGATAGACTTTTCTCATTTTGGATCAATGTCATCAGTTCAGGAAGCTTCTTTTCTGTTTCATTCTTCTTCTTGAGGAATAAGGTCCATGTGTATCTGGAGTAATCATCTACTATAACCAAGGTGTACCTTCTGCCACTTAGGCTTGTTGGTTCAACTGGTCCAAACAAGTCAAGGTGCAGTAGGCTTAATGGTCTAGTTGATAATTCTGCTTCTTTGGATTTGAATCATACCTTTGTTTGCTTTCCTTTATGACATGCATCACATAAGTGGTCTTTCTTGAAATTGATTTCTGGAAGTCCCTTCACCAATCCTTTTCTAGACAGTTTGTTGATGGTTTTGAAGTTGAGATGGTTGAGCTTGTGTGCCATTCCCAACTTAAATTTGAATCTGCCTTTGTCACTAAGCAGATTCCTTCCTTAGTTGAGCTCCGATCAACAACATACATGTCCTTCTTCCTTCTACTAGAGAGCACAATTTTATCATTTTTGACTTCTCTAATCAAGCAGATATCTTTGGAGAATGTCACATTATAGCCATTGTCACAGAGCTCGCTTGTGCTTATGAGATTGAACTTTAAACCTTTAACATAATATATGTTTTGGATTATGAGTCCATTAATTGATAGGTCTCCAGCTCCTTTGGTTTCTCCTTTCTATTCCACATTCCCAAATGTAACTTTGGGTCCTTCTCGAGCAACATAGTTAGACAGTAGCTTCTTGCTTCCTGTCATGTGCCTGGTGCAGCCTGAGTCTATGTACCATATTTGTGAGTCAGCTGCTCCAACACCTTCCTGTATTCACCAGTGTTGAGCAGTAGCCCACAAGTTAGTGGGCAACTTCCCTTGTACAGGTTTAGGCATCCAAGCCCATCTAGAACCATTTAACTCTAAGCATATTGGTTTATAGCCATTTGAAGTATTGTAATCATGGGGGATGGCTATGTATTTGTTAATCCTTTTCCTTCTTGATGTGGGAAATGGATTATTCACTTTTGGAGAAGTCTGCTTAGTATTTTGGCTGTGGTTGGTCTTATTGATTGGTTGCCAACTGGTTCTTGGGGTTTGATGGTTAGGGAGTGTTTATTTATACAGGGATTTGGATTTTGATTTGGGAGCAGGTTGGTTCTTTTCTTTTGAAATGTATTAAGAATGGGACTTTTGGTAGATTAGCTTTCTTGTGTTTGTTTGTTGGCTAGTGGATGGGGAGTTTTGATTGAGTCTTGTAGGGGATATGTAGCCAAGACCTCTTCTCTTCTTATGTAGAATAACTTCAGCAGTAGAGTCACAAGATTTACTATCCATGCTCGAGTTATTCATTCTATTTTTCAGCTCTTTGTTCTCTTCTTCTAAGACATTGTTTTTTGTCAAGGCATATAACAATTTTCCATGAACAACCTTAATGTCTTGTTTTAATCTATCATTTTCAGATTTCAAGAGAACATGGTGATTTTGGATCTTTTGGAAGTCTTGTAGTAAAGATTCCAGTGTAATGTTAGAGTGTCCAGAATCACTTGAGCTATAGGAAGAGAAGGATGTTACCTCAACATTATTGAAGTGTCATCAGCCATGAAGCATCTAGGTGAGCAGCATTCATCACTTTCACTTGTGCAGGTTTCACTGAGCTGCCTGATGCATTCTCCAGTGAGCCACTTGCCACCTTCTTAAGCCACCTACCAAGATCCTAGGCAAAGGAGTGCTTCTTCTGAGCTTTCAGATGAGGAGCTTTCGTCACTTGAGCTGCTCTCTTCATCACTTTGGGATTCCTCCTTTCTCTTTTCACTTACATCCAACTTGTCTCTTGCCTTTGAAATCCTTCTTATATCTAGCTTTTTGAGCAGTTGCTTGCTGCCCTTGATACTTTTGTGCCAATGGCAGAGGGCACTCATTTTTGTAATGTCCTGGCTGTCTACAGTTGTAGCATAGGATAGTGTCCTCACTAGATTGAGGTCTCTCTTGTCTCCTGGTGGCAGATTGTACGGCTTCTTTGGGGTAGATCCCTCTTTCTTCATGAATCTCTTAAACTTTCTCACAAACATGGCAAACTGCTCATCAGTGAGAAGATTGTTGAGGGATTTCTCATTGGATCTAGATGAGCTCGGTTCTAACATTAGGGCTAGTGTCTTTGATCTACTTCCTTCTCTTCTTTGATCTCCTTCATTTCAAACTCATAAGCTTTAAGATCACTGAAGAGCTTATCAATTGACAAAGTTCTGAGATCTCTGCTATCTTTCATAGCAGTCACCTTCATGTCCCACTTTGAGGGCAGACCTCTCAAGACCGTAAGGGAAATCTCTTTTTGAGATAGTTCTTTCCCCATGTCAAAGACCTCTGCCACAATTTTCAGGAATCTGGACTCCATCTCATGGATAGTTTCATTTGGCAGCATTTTGAAGTCCTCAAACTTCTTGAAGGCTATGGTCAGTTTATTATCCTTTTCCTGTTCATCTCCTGCTCTAATTTTTGTGAGCTCATCCAGACATCTTTGGCCGTTTCACATTTCCTAATCCTGGGAAATATGGATTCATCTACATATTTGAAGAGAATATCTTTGGCAATGTTGTCAAGATTGTTTCTCTTCCTGTCTTCAGTTGTCCATTCCAATTTGGGTTTTGGAATGTACACATCCTCTTGATCATCAGTTTGTTTAGATGTGTTGACCTTCATTATTTTGATAGGTCCAGCCGTAATCACCTCCAGCATTTTATCATGTAAGGCATTGAGATGTGCTTTCATTCTTATTTTCCAGTCATCAAATTTGTTCAAGTTGAACAAAAGATTCTTTGCAATCTGACTGTCCATTTTTAGAAAGTATTTGGGAAGTAGAGTGGATTTGGATCTTTAGTTCAAATTAGTCAGAAACTGACTCTAGGAACACTTCGCTCTGATACCACTTGATGGTCCCTGATAGAGGTAAAAGTTTAAAGGGGGGGTGAATAGACTTTTAAAGTTTTTTCAACTTTAAAAACTTTTTCTTTTTAGATGAGTTTAACCTATGATCTTTTGGGAGATTTATAGATACACAGCGGAAGTCTTTAACCTCTATATGATCAGTGTGTGACAACTTTCTAACTTGGGTGATGTTTGGACTTATATAGTGAGTAGTTGGCTTGGCAGTTGGCTGGATGGCACGGAACTGTGGAGGCAACTGCTGAGGAAATATGTAGTGTAAAATGAAAGTGAAGATAGACAATTGCTTAGAATGATGAGGGCTTTCAGGAAATGTGCTGAGGTGAGTATAAGTGAAAGTTTACGAGAGCAGTGGTCTCAGCAGTTGGGTGATCACCAGGGAACTGCTGAGGCACCTGCTGAGTTACAGGCTGATTTTCGGAGATCAGTTTGAACCAACTTCTTGGTAATGTTGTTATGGAGATCTTGTGACGTTGAGATGTTCAAAAGAAATAAATGTGTAAGAACAGTGGGCTTAGTAGTTGGGTGGTCACCAGGGAACGGCTGAGGCAACTGCTAAACTTGTGAGAAGAATTCCTGAGATCTGATAGAACAGACTTTTTAGTAGTGATGTTATAGGGCCCTTGTGAGAAAGTTGTCTCAAAGAAAGTAAGTAATTAAGCAGTAGGATAAGCAGTAAGATCAATTAAGACTACTGCTTAGGATACTGCTGGCAAACTATAATCCTTTTATGAGAAGTGTTGGGTGTGTGCTTTGTTAAATGAAAGTAAATCAACACACAGTATATCCTGGTTCAGAGGTGGTGTAATCCTCCTACATCGAGTCACACCCTCTTTCAGATGGATTTCCACTAAAGTATTAAGCCCAATACACTTAGTGCCAATCTAGCCTTTACAACACTCAGGCCTAGATTGAAGGTGTTGCACAAGGAGTACAACACCACTCCAAGTTACTCAATCCTTATAATTTTCTCAATTGATCGAGTGGGGACCAAAAGGTATTCTATCTATCTATCCACACTTAGGACTTGATAACACAACCCTTCTAAGTGTTTACAACAATATTTTTGTGATTTGTTACAAGAAAGTTCTAACCTCCAACTAGGAACTAAACTTCCAGAATTTAACAATGAAGATTTGTAACTTGGAAGTTTAGTGAAGCATGAGTCCAAGCAGAGAGTAAAGTTTGGACAAGTATTTCTCTTTTGCTAGATAGCTCGTATATGCTCAAAGGAAATTTTTCTCTATTTAGGATGCTCAAATGCTTCGTTAGAAACTTTTGTTTCGGCCTATATTTATAGGCTACTCCTGTTGATTAATCTCATCCGTTAGTTAGGATGATTTAATCTTTGACGTTCGTATGAGTTTGTACTTTTGTATTCATGTGTTGGAGCATTCATTTAGGCTGTCTTCATTATTTGGCCGTTGGAGGATCGACGTCATTTGTACGAGCTTCATGTTTCTAGGCCCCATGTACAATTTTAGCATTAAATGCCAATCAAAGATTGTCTTCCATGATTTAGCTGCTGAAGACTCCCCTCAGAGACAATTCCTTGTGTGTGTCCCATGTTCCAGGCCCATGTACGGTTTTAGCATTAACTGTCGGTCAAGTTTTGTCTTCAATCATATACATTCAATTTATATGATTTTCGAACATATGTGACAGTTTAATTTTTGTGTGCAAATAAATTTATACTGGTAGGATTTAAATATCCTATTAAGGTAAATAAAAATTACTTTATTGCATTTTTAAATTTCCAGTAAAATTTTATTAGTCTCAAAAATTGTACATTTATTTGTCACTTTATGATTAGAAGTTGAACACTAATACTTGAATTAAATGAGAAACAATGTACATGTGTAGAGTATAGTGACATCATCAAAATCTATCAAAATTGGGTACTAACATCTATTTTATCCATTTCAGTATTTGTAATTTCTTTCTATTTTATCTATATAATTTATTTCATATATAAATTTTATTTAACTTTTGTTTCTTTTTCATAAAATAAAGAAAATAGAAAGATGATAGAGTATATATCTAGAGAGAAGTGAGAGCTAGAGAGAGAAGTGCAATATATGCTTCAATAGAATGACTTGGTAACCCTGATAACTACCTCCAGAGGAAGTATTTATAGGGAAAATACGGGCTGGGCTCCCAAGTCTTGGGCTTGGGAGGCCCATTTACAACTGGACCGCTATTGGGCCGAATACAAAGCCACTGGTGGGCTATACAAATGAATAAGTGTAAACTCCGGTTCTGTGAGACTTCCGTGGCCGACGAGGGTCTTGGCCGACGAGGGCACGGCCGATGAGGGCATGGCCGACGAGGTCACCCGGTTCTCCTGACTTCTGGATCATATTCTGGATAGATCTTTTCCTGGCCGATGATAGCATGGCCGATGAGGGCATGGCCGACGAGGTCACCCAGTGATCATGGTACCTTCTGTTTTTCTGAGTATGTGGGTCCTGGGGCCTAGACCCATTTACTCCAGCAGGAGTCCCCCACTCTCTAAGCTGAGATGTAGACGAAGTGAAGGAGAGTAGATTTCTGTGCTTGATGCTCTTGGCCGATGCGGGACCACGTTGGACGTTCCCTGTCGCGGTGTTTGGTGGCCCTGTTCTGAGTTTGGTCGTTACCCGTTCCTTGATGTGGACGAGGAAGGCTGTTACTCCTTTGGTGCGCTTGTTTGCGGACGATGAGTGTTCCGGTATGAGTGGCCGACGAAGGTAGTGTCTATCCTTGGTCGTTGATGGTTTGAACTTCCCTTTCGGGCTGATGAGGCCATTGTGGTTATCTCTTGTTTGAGGACGATGGGTGTCCTTTGTTTCGAGGACGATGAGTGTCCTTCACCTTGAGGACGATGAGCGCCCTTCGTTTCGAGGACGACGGATGTCCTTCATCTTGAGGACAATGGGTGTCCTTCGCCTTGAGGACGATGAGCGTCCTTCACTTTGAGGACGATGAGCGCCCTTCGTTTCAAGGACGACGAATGTCCTTCATCTTGAGGACGACGAGTGTCCTTGGCTTGGAGGATGATATGCGTCCTGCCTTGCGCTCTGGCCGAAGGTGGACGTTTGTGGTGTTCTTGTCATTGTCTTGAAGATGATGTGTGCCATTGGTCTTGAGGAGTGTCCTTGGCTCCAAGGATGATGTGCCCTTAATCCTGAGGACGATGTGTGTCCTGCTTTGCGCTTCGGCCTGGCCGAAGGGTGAACACATGGTTGTTGGACGTTGAGGTGACATTGTCATGGGCTTGTGTTCGTTGGATTTTGAATTTTTTTCTTTACGCTGGAGGCCGATGTAGTCCCCCAGACCTTCTTCTGGCCGATGAAGACATGGCCGACGGAGGTACCACTTGGTAGTCCTTGCTTTTTGTTGCTTTCTGGATGATTTCATGTATGTGGAGGCCGATGTAGTCCCCCAGTCCCCCACTCCTCGAGGCTCATGTAGTGAGGTGAAGAGGAGTAGAGCAATACACGTCTTCAATAGGGGGCCGAGGGTCGACACCTTTTGATCCACAATGGGGCGGTGCCTCGTTAAAAACCTCATTAGGAAAAACCCTGTGGGAAAAAATCCTAATGAGGGAAAAAGAGCACACCGGATCCCCCAAAATGAACTCCAAGGGGTGAACCCTTCGGCCTAGGTGTGGAGCTGAAGCGGTGTCCGTCTGATGAGAGGACGCCCGCCTGGTGGTGAGGACGACGGCGCTGATGAGCCGGTCCGAATATGAGGACGAGGCAATGGATGCTTGTCTGGATGTGAGGACGACAATGGTAATGATTTGTGCGTCATATGAAGGCGACGGTCGCTGTCCAGGAAGGGAATTGCGAGCCCGGTCTCTATAGCAGTACCTAAGCGTTGGGAGCTGGTCTCGAGATATGAGGACGACGGCACTGGGGGGCCGGTCCGGAATCCATGCAACGGTCGCCATCTGGTAAAGGAATGGCTAAGACCGGTCTTAAGATAGAGCATCACACCATAGCCGAGGGGCTGGTCGTGATGTGAAGATGACGGCGATGAGGAGCCGATCCTAGAATCCATGCAACGGTCGTCATCCAGTGAAGGAACGGCTAAGACCGGTCTTGAGATAAATGATCACGCCTTGGCCGAGGGGCCGGTCGTGATGTGAGTACGACGGCACTGATGAAGCTGCTCGTCGTATGAAGGCGAGGGTCGCCATCCAGGAAGGGAATGCGAGCCCGCTCGCTGGCTCAAGACGCTCGGCGCTGAGGAGGCCGGTCTTGAGATGAAGGATCACGTTGAGACCGAGGGGTCTGCCGTGATCTGAGGACGACGGCGCTGATGAAGCCGGTCCAGATAAATGATGACGAAGGCGTTGATGGAGCCATTCGTCATGCAAGCTCGAGGCTCTCGGTATTTGAGGAAGCCGGCCTTGAGATGAAGGATCACGTTGAGACCGAGGGGTCGGCCGTGATCAGAGGACGACGGCGCTGATGAAGCCACTCCTCATGTGAAGGCGAGGGTCGCCATCCGGGAAGGGAATGGCGAGCCCGCTTGCTAGTTCAAGACTATCGGCGCTGAGGAGGCCGGTCTTGAGATGGATATCACGCCTTGCCCGATGGGCCGGTCGCAATGATGAAGTCGATCGTCATTTAGTGGCGATGGTCACCATCCAGGAAGGGATGGTGAGCCCGATCGCTGGCTCAAGACTCTCGGCGCTGAGGAAGCCGGTCTTGAGATAGATAGTCACGCCTTGGCCGAGGGGCCGGTCGTGACGTGAGGATGGACGACACTGAGGGGCCAGTCCGAAAATCCGTGCAACGGTCGCCATCCGATAAAGGAATGGCTAAAACAGGTCTTGAGATAGATGATCATGCCAAGGCCGAGGGACCAGGCGTGACTTGAGGATGACGGCTATGATGAAGCCGATCCAAGATAGATGATCACGCCCTGGCCGAGGGACCAGACATGATTTGAGGATGACGGTGCTGATGAGGCCGGTCCAAATAAATGACGACGAAGGCATGTGATGAAGCCGTTCGTCATGTGAACTCAAAGCTCTCGGTGTTGAGGCTGCCGGCCTTGAGATGGCGAGCCCGCTCGCTGGCCCAAGACGTTTGGCGTTGAGGAGGCCGGTTTTGAGACGAAGGATCACGTTGAGACCGGGGGGTCTGCCGTGATCTGAGGACGACGGCGCTGATGAAGCCGCTCCTCGTATGAAGGCGAGGGTCGCCATCCAGGAAGGGAATGGCGAGCCCGCTCGCAAGCTCAAGACGCTCGGCGCTGAGGGGGCCGGTCTTGAGATGAAGGATCACGTTGAGACCGGGGGTCTGCCGTGATCTGAGGACGACGACGCTGATGAAGCCGCTCCTCGTATGAAGGCGAGTGTCGCCATCCAGGAAGGGAATGGCGAGCCCGCTCGCAAGCTCAAGACGCTCGGCGCTGAGGAGGCCGGTCTTGAGATGAAGGATCACGTTGAGACCGGGGGGTCTGCCGTGATCTGAGGACGACAGCGCTGATGAAGCCGCTCCTCGTATGAAGGCGAGGGTCGCCATCCAAGAAGGGAATGGCGAGCCGCTCGCAAGCTCAAGACGCTCGGCGCTGAGGAGGCCGGTCTTGAGATGAAGGATCACGTTGAGACCGGGGGGGTCTGCCGTGATCTGAGGACGACGGAGCTGATGAAGCCGCTCCTCGTATGAAGGCGAGGGTCGCCATCCAGGAAGGGAATGGCGAGCCCGCTCGCAAGCTCAAGACGCTCGGCGCTGAGGAGGCCGGTCTTGAGATGAAGGATCACGTTGAGACCGGGGGTCTGCCGTGATCTGAGGACGACGGCGCTGATGAGGCCGCTCCTCGTATGAAGGCGAGGGTCGCCATCCAGGAAGGGAATGGCGAGCACGCTCGCTAGCTCAAGACGCTCGACGCTGAGGAGGCCGGTCTTGAGATGAAGGATCACGTTGAGACCGGGGGGGTCTGTCGTGATCTGAGGACGACGGCGTTGATGAAGCCAGTCGTCTGAAGATGAGGGGGGCGAAGCCGGTCCTATGATGAGGACGGCGAAGCCGTACCTATAATGAAGGACGACGTTGAGCGCTCGTCTGATCCGCATATATGATCTTGCTTCGTCCATAATGCACAGTATTTGCCTCATATGTACTTAGCCAAATATGTGGCTTGATTTGTGGGGATTTCATTTTTATTGCTCGAGGCCGGCGAGTGCGCGGTCCTTGGCTTCCCTCTTTTGATTTGTGGGGATTTCGCTCGAGGCCGGCGAGTGCGCGGTCCTCGGCTCTCCCTCTTTTAATTTGTGGGGATTTCGCTCGAGGCCGGCAACTGCACGGTCCTCGGTTGTCCCTCTTTTATTTCTTCCTCTACTGCTATGAGCGATGAGTGGGGGTCCTTCTTTCAGGCTCGACCGAGGGGGTTGCTATTCCCTCGGCCGATAGGGAGTCCAGGAGGGCAACTGTCCGGCCTCTGGCGCTGGCGCGTCCCTAGACCTTGGGGGGTCCCGTCGTCTATTTATGGCGCAGGCTAGGCTTTTGGTCGGTTACCGACGGCTGCCGTTTCCCAACCCCAAGTGTGGGGATTTTGTCACCTCGGCCATTCTTTCAGGCCTGTCGTAATGCGATTTAGCGCGAAGACGACGCGGTGAGCTTCCCATTTCAAGACGTGGGCCGTTTGTGGGCCCCTCGTCCTGGGACATCATCGGCCATGCCTGAGTGTTTCGCTCGAAGGGGCCGGGACGATGTGCTGTTTTGTGTGGCGTCGTCGGTCATACCTGAGCGTTTCGCTCGAAGGGGTCGAAGCGACGTGCTTTGTTATGTGGCATCCTTTACTTAAACTTTACAAGAAATAAGCAGAACACAATAGGTGCGTTGTTTATGGCAACGGCTTTTATTAGGGTCAGTGGCTCAAGGCCGAGGGGGGTAACCTTCTGAACAAGTCGTACAAGAGTTAGCTTCCCAATGAGTTTCTGACCTTAGGGTGGGGGCTCTGCCGTCTGCACCCTCTTCGGATTGCTGGTAGAACTTCACCGAGATGTAGGGCCCTTCGTATTTTGAGGGATAATCCGTCGGCCGTGCGTCCCTTCGAGGAAGAACGCAGTCAGCGGATGTGACGCTTCTTCAGTTGGTGCTCCTCGAAGTCCTCGTCATCGCTGAGCTTCCCAATTTCATGCTTCTTCGTTGAGGTGTCCCCTTCCTGATTGCCGGTGGAGTTCCTTGGGGTAACTTTGACAAATTGGCGGAGTTCACCCCGTTGAATTAAGCGCTCAATGGCTTTCTTCAGCGCGACCCAGTCGTCTGTATTGTGGGAGGTGTTCTTGTGGTAACGACAATAAGTGCCACCCTGGTGGACGGCGTAGACTTCCGTGGCTGACCGGGAATCTTTAGGGATGAGACCTTCCTCCTCCGCATAGTCGAAGATGGTATCTACCGAGTGCGTGAGCGTAGTCCTTGGGACGTCCGTCCTCAGCTGCCATGGGCGCTCCTTCCGGTTTCGGCGGGCATGGCCCCCGACCGAGGATACGTTTGGAGCCGACGCCTCGTCTGACCTCTTTGATGGTTGGCCTACATCCTTCTTGCAGGAGTGGAGCTCATCGACGTCAGCGTACAAGCTCCCTCGTTGGAGTGCCTTGGTGTATGACCTCGGCGGGTCAGTGATGAGGCTCCTCGCATAGGGGCTGCTGCGGAGAACGCCTTGGAAGAGGACGAGGAGGATGCGCTCATCGGCACCTTCGACCTCGTCTGTCTCCTTCGTCCATCGATCGATGAAAGACCGAAGTGATTCATCGTGTTGCTGCTTGATGGAGAGAAGGTGGGAGAAATGTTTTCTCACGCGCTTCCTTCCGGCGAAGTGGGTGAGGAAGCGTTGGGCAAGATCCTGCCACGAATCTATGCTTCCTTCGGGGAGCGCGTTGAACCACTCGTACACTGGCCCTTCAAGAGTGGAAAGGAACCAACGTCAGAGGTATTCATCTGATGCGTTCACCATCAGCATGTTGTTTTGATAGCGGCTGAAGTGCTCCTGAGGGTCAGGGCGGCCGTCATAGGGCTTGATGGCGTTCCCTCAGTAATTCTCCGGTATTGGGGCCGAGAGCACCCTCGTGGTGAAGGGAGTTTTTGTTCTGATTTGGATGATGGGGTCACCACGTCTGTCGGCCAGCTCCCTCTCCAGGGCGCTGACCTTAAGCATGAGCGCGTGGTAACCTGGACCCTCGGATGAGTTGGCCGTAGGGATGGTGGCCGATTGTCTAGCCTCCATCTGGGCCAGTCTCCTTTCCAGTTGGGCGATGACCTCGTCCCGAGGGTCCTTGGCGGCCGTAGTGGTGCCTTGCTGGTTGCGCACGCGAGCTTCTTGAGTCGTGTTGATTCGATGACGCACATTGTCCTCGTGCAATTTTCCTTTGCCTTTGTCCAGGCGGGGCCGATCCGCTGTCCGGGATACGGACCCCAAGCTTTCCCATGGTGAGCCAGGCTCACGTTCACCAATCCGTCCCGCCATCCTCTCCGAAGCAGGCCGACGACGCGTGTCACCTAGCCTATCAAAGGCTGAGGCTTTTCCACGCGTTGGGGCCGGTCCAGCTCGAAGTGGGGAAGCAGGGTGGGAGTGGGATGACGACGTGTCCTGGGGCACCACCCCTTCGTCGTTGCCCAGCTTGATGGCCAACGGCTGGGGCTGAGGAGGCGGTGTAGTGTTCTCCCCAGTCCTTGGCATGAGTGCGCTGAGGACGGTGGGGTTCTGGGCCAAGCTGGCGATGATGGCCGAGAGAGCGGCTTGGAGCTGAGGGTCAACGGCAGGAGAAGCCGGTTGCCCAGAGACGTTGTCACCCTTTTCTGCGCGCTTCTTGTCCAAGCTGATGCGAGCGTCTGGGGCGACGTCGTTAAGGTCGTTGCGCAGGTCAGTGGTGAGGCCGATGGCTTCATGGAAGACATCCCCGACGGGAGCCTTGTCGGCCGTAGCATCCTCCTCGTGTTCTCGGTTCTCTTGGGCCTCAGGGATGGCCTTGCTGAGGAGGTTGCGGTTTGACCTAGTTCTTCCCATTGTCAGTTAGCTGTGCTTGGTAGCGACGGAGGAGGCTAACTTGATTGTTCTAGCTCTCAACGAGAGCACCAAATGATAGAGTATATATCTAGAGAGAAGTGAGAGCTAGAGAGAGAAGTGCAATATATGCTTCAATAGAATGATTTGGTAACCCTGATAACTACCTCCAAAGGAAGTATTTATAGGGAAAATACGGGCTGGGCTCCCAAGTCTTGGGCTTGGGAGGCCCATTTACAACTGGACCGCTATTGGGCCGAATACAAAGCCACTGGTGGGCTATACAAATGAATAAGTGTAAACTCCGGTTCTGTGAGACTTCGGTGGCCGACGAGGGTCTTGGCCGACGAGGGCACGGCCGATGAGGGCATGGCCGACGAGGTCACCCGGTTCTCCTGACTTCTGGATCATATTCTGGATAGATCTTTTCCTAGCCAATGATAGCATGGCCGATGAGGGCATGGCCGACGAGGTCACCCAGTGATCATGGTACCTTCTGTTTTTCTGAGTATGTGGGTCCTGGGGCCTAGACCCATATACTCCATCAAAAGAAATAAAACTACTATAATTGAAAAATTAAAGAATTTTGATTTTTACAATTAAGATAGCATAAAAATTTAATGAAATAGATTTTCATGAAAAAAAAATCTACAATAAAGATTTAAATCTTAATTTTTTTTAATCACAATATACTTTTTGAAAAAACAAAAGGTAAAATTGAATAAAGGAAAATAATACAAAATCAATACTTGTTAACACAACTAGGAAAAATAAATCGGAAAAAAGAAAAAAATGAAATTCTAGTGAAAATAAATAAACATGACTAAAAATATTTTTATTTAACTTCAGTACATTTGTATAATTTTAATAATTATTTTTACATGTTTAAAAATATTTAATTTGGCAATTTACAAAAATATTTTTATATTTTTTTAAAATTTAGAGTTGATAATTGGGTAAATAAAAGTAGATCAACTATACTTGAGATTATTTATAGGTTACGCATAGTTCATATTTAAATTTGACCTGCTATACCAGGTTGTAGCAGGTTATGGACTATTTTTGGAAAATGGTCCCTATAGTTGGGATCATCCAAGAATAATCGATAGTTGGGATTATTAATGGCGGACTGACAATAGTTGAGATTATTGTTTTCAATTTTTTCCTAATAATATTAAGGTTTAAATATGTTTTAATCCCTGCAAATGTAGCACACATTGATTTAGGTCCCTGCAAAATACTTTCTTTATTTTTCATCCCTGAAATTTAAGTTGGTTTTGTTTTTAGTTCATGACTAATAATAACATCCGTTTAGCAATGAAATAATCCCGACTAATAGGTATCCTTTAATAGGTGTCCTTTAATTCTTTGTGATGTCATTCAAAAAGTATTTAATTCATTTTTGAAAAGGTTTTTAATTCATATTTTTAAAATGCGAATAATTAGTTTAAATATTGTTTTAACTCTCTTATTAGCCTCAAAACAATTATAAACTGATAAACTTAAATGGTTCTAGTAGATTTATGCAACCGACAATTAAAAAAAAAAATCTAAGTTCGGAGTTAGAGATGGATTAAAATCAAAATAATGAATATTATTATAGGGATGAAAACTAATAAAATATTTTGCAGAGACCTAAAACAAAGTGTGTCATACTTGAAGAGACTAAAATCGTATTTGAACCTAATATTAATTAGCTTAATACAACCAAACCAGACAACACAACAAACTACTCACATCACAAATAAATAAATGTGCAGATAGTGAATTGAAGTGTGTATTAATTTTGGGCTTACCTCATACATAGTATATCCAAATGCCAAACGATCGAGCTAGTTTGAGTTGTGGATATGAACGAACGCCCTCAATATTCCAACTAAATATATTAAATTATGTAAATTGTCAAACTAGCTATATATTAGATATATAAATTAATTAATCCAGCCTAGCTGAATTGCGATATTAAGAGAAGATGACCGACCGGATTGGATAAACAACACGTCGCTATATATACTATCTTGATTGGATAACGCTTCTACGTATGAACTTATTATGATATACTATGTATAATCTTATATTAATATATATGGTTGTGTGATATACATATATAAAAATGAAAGAATTCTAACTTATTGCTTGTCTTATAACACGTAGCTCATTATATACACACACATATGCACTTTCTAACGTAAGTCTACGAAAAGGAAAGCGTATAATACGTGATTAAATGGAAGCATAATAATAAAAATATCTGTACGTACACTATCAAGAAAAGATATGCATGCATTATTGCATTAGGCTAGCTAACTAAAACCTTGTTTAGTTGTTCAAGTCTAGCTACCAGCATGGCAGCATATAGAACTCATCTGATCTGGTAGGGTCTAAAATTGACATTCCCTGATTTCCCTAATACATACGAACTCATCTGGTCTGGTCCAATAGACGTATGTTCTACGTGTGTATTATACAATTTTCGAAGTCTAGTCTCGTATGATTTCGACATCCGATCTAATCTCATCTTATTTGGTCTAGCCTGATATGGAACTGAAATCAGTCCAATTAAAAAATAAACATCCTTAGTAATCAAAACTGCTTGCGTACATGGTTCGATTTGTGTCGAGTAAAAAAATCTCACCGTGTCTCACTCATAATGTAAGATACACGTGAATTTGACACGAATTTAACAAAATAAAAGATAAAATGAATATTTTACCAATCTAACGGTGAAAATTAGGAAAAGAAAGATGCATGTCCATCCCATAAAAAGTAATGGATCATAATTGTCATTTTTGTCACATCATCATAAGAAACAAACCTATATACTCCGTACAATTTATAAGTAGTACATGATTTGGGGAGTTCTACGGTGCACTCCCATTAATTATATTTGATTGTACCGTACGCGGAGGGGCAGACGTAGCATATAATGAGGGTAAGCATAGGCTTCACCTCAAAAAGTATTGTTAGCTTATGTGGTAGTAGTATTGATATAAGATACTACTTCCGTCCCTAAATAATCGTCCTGGTTTGACCTTCACACATATTAAGAAAGTGAAGTTGACTTCATACTGTAGCGACACTGTTTGGCACTGTAGCGACACTGTTTGGCACTGTAGCGACACTGTTCGGTACTGTTTTGCATTTTTTGACACTGTTTTGTACAGATTTGTTTATCAAATAAGGAAAGGAAACAATTATTTCGAGACGGATCGAAAAGGAAAACAAGACAATTATTTCGGGACCAGGTCAGTCTGTCTAAACTCTCCCAAGGCGTCATCTGAATTTTTTTCCCTACGGAGTACAAGTATATGTTATGCTCCCCTTCTCCACTAGTTCTATAAATTCTAAACCCAATCCACATATTTTTTAAAAACGTGAAGAGATCTTTGAGTCATCCACTATTTTAGTTTCAACTTTTAAGTCTCTAAATATATAAATGATTAAATCTTTATTATTATTATTATTATTATTTTAACATGCCTATATTGTATTCTCTAATATTTCAATTTATTTAACATTTAAAACACCAAGTGTTATTTTAATTTTTATTATTTTTTTTACTGCACTTTCTTTTATGTTATAGTACTTTCTTTTATCTTATAGTATCTATTTGGTTAACTGTCAACATCTTTGATTATGATGAGTTTCGAACGTGTGATCTTCTATTTGGGAGTGTCACAGTGATGCCATCGAACCACAAGGTGCTTGACATTTTAATTTTTTGCTCTTATGAGCCGAATAAATATCAATAATAAAATAATTCATCTAGCCTTTAAAATTTTGCAACTTTCCTTTTTGGATTGTCCTACTAATTAAATTTGTTACTTTCCATTTTAAGTAATAATGAATTTGTGGTTTTGATTAATTCTATCTTCTTTGCACAAACCTCAACAACACTGTCTTTATTTAATTAAGAAAAAATGGACAAGAATAATCTCAACTATTAGTGACCTGCTTGAATTAATCTAAAGTATCAATTATCTCAAAATAATCTCAACTATTGAAAAAACTTCTGAAAATACTTCACTTACTTATAAATATTACGGAGTATAAGTTATTTACATATAATTATAAGTCACCGGAGTATTTTGAGAAAATTTTATGTACATATAATGTTCTTGTTCTCGTATAATTTTGTGCATACAGATGCCTAGGTCCGCCACTGCGTACACGGACCAATAATATTGTAGCACATGGAAAATAATTAAAATATACTATCCTCTGTTCCGTTTTAATCACAACATGTTGAATTTTACACTATTCACATGCTCTACTTTGACTACATTTTACGCTATTATTTTATGAAAATTATTTTTTAAAAAATATATTGTTCAATTCATCTCATTACAAATATTAAAAATCTGTTTTTTAGTATTTTTATTTACTAATAGAATTAAGATATAATTATGGTCAAAGACATGCGTTGGCAAATGTGAAATGTTGACCGTTGTAACTAAAAAAGAACGGAGGGAGTATATGAATTTTAATGTCCATGTGGCATTGTTTTATTTGCCTACGTAAGGAAATGTACCGTACATGTGAAATTTAGAGATGCACCATAGAATTTTCCACATGATTTTTGTTTTCATTTTAGTTCTTCTCTTTAATATACTTCATATGTATGAGGGAAATCAGGGAATGTAAATTTTAGTATACGAGCGCATCATTCACATATCACAAAGATAAATATGATAACGCATTTTCCATAAATAATAGTGGTGGTGCCATGGATCATAGTCATGGCCCAAGATCGAATTAAAGTAAAGCTCATCAACGGAATCAACTCATTAATCAGGATTAATAATAAGTAATAGCCGTTGGGTCTAACTAGGATCCTAACCCATGAAAGGAACCCATCATCAGGCCAGGCTGGACAGTAGACCTCGAGCCCGAGCGGAGTTCTAGCGAGGTCGGACTTATCCTAGGGCTTACGTGGCAAGCTATCATTTGAGCATAGTTATCTGGCAGTGACACGAAATAATGGAAGAAATGTGGACTTGAGGAAATAATGATTGCACAACGTTCGAGACGTTACAGGATGCTATTATAATTAATTGGATCAAATGTATCAGTTTACTCTTACAATACTAGAACCTAAGATCAATAAATATTTCATGTACACATTCTACCAAGGATCTGAATTCCAGAATAATAATATTGTCTTAAGCTGCCTAAATTTCATATGCTCTCATAGATAAGCTCTCGTAGTTGGAATTAAACTCTATCAAATAGTGAAACTAGATACGCTCCGTTACGAATTAGTGAATAATGTACCTCAAGGTTCAACTACTATTCCTTTTATACGATCATATAACAATACTAGCTTAGGCACGCGCTTTGCGCGAGGATTAATGCCCAATGGGGAAAACATGACCAATTTGAAGGGTGCAAAACTAAACAGCAACATGAACATAACCAAAACGAAGTAGGACAAAAGAAGGAACAAAAATAATAACTACAGTAGTACATATGGGGTATTTGGAGGAGGCCCTAATTTTTTGAGTACTCCAAAATCCAAATACTCAGATTACAACGAAGAACTAAATAAGGGAATAATTCTAAGGAAAAAACATGCAATAATTAGTCATAACAATGTCATCACGTATAACGAACGATACCTATGTTTTTAAACTACTCTTCCATGAAATAAATGCAAGTCCCCAGCATTCCAAACAAATATGAGTATATCATTACATCTGGTGGTCAGTACATGCCTCGAGGGAGAAGGTGGAGTGGTTAACCCCGCACTGCCATGGCTGCAAATAATCAGGCACTATGTGTATTGTCACGCCAAGATGCAAGTCGGGTTGACTAGAAAACTATATACTTTTGAAAAAATAATCATCATTATCTCAAGATTTTTCACTATCATTAACAATATCAACTGTCAATTGACTCCTCAATGGGATAACAGCTAAACCCATCACTGTCATGGCTAAAAAACCAGAGGCTAGTGTGGAATGTCATGCCAATGTATTGTTTAGATCAATTAGATTTTCCTAAATCTAGAATTTAAAGTGAAGAAAAGTTAATAGGAAAAAAAATATCTCACATGAGAAATCAGAAAGTGTTATGAACTTTAAAATGTATTGCAGCACCAAATTATGACTTATCTCTCTCATATTGTGTGATAGCTCTGAGTTTGATGGCTTGACACACTTCAAGGAAGTGGGATTGATCCCATCCTCATACAAGGCTAAGGTGGATATTCCCTACACCAAAGACATGGGTTAACACTCAGACCGGAGTTTTTAAGTTTAATGTTGGTATTTCAATTATAGATAGCATAACAGTAAGAGTAGTGATTAGAGACAATCAAGGAAGTTTTAATGCTGAAGCAATCCTTGTCGATTTAAAGGGAAAAAAGGAATAACAGAAGCCAACATTGGTTTAAATCATCACCTCACCTTAAGGAAGTTGTAAGGTAGTGGGCTTTTCTTTTGTAAATTTTAATATTATCCATCTGCATATTAATTATGTTGCTTATTTACTCTATACCGTCTCTAGAGCAGAATGTTATTTTAATTAACTTCATCATGTCTCGAATCTCCCATGTGATATTCAAAAGGCTCTCTCCTTGCATTCCAAAGATTTTCCTTATTTGATCAATAATAGTAGGTAAAGTTTCTTCTGACTACCCCTCACACTAAGGTTTTTTCCGGGTTAAAAATGACTTATCTCTCGATTCTCTCATATATCTCAGTAAAACCCAATCTTTCTCGAACTCTCAGATCAAGACACACATGTGGTTAAAGTGAATAACAGAGAGCCTATGACTCTCAGATCAAGACACACATCAACTTGATTTAGGTTCCTCACTTTCTCCCATTGTTTTAGAAACTTAAAATAGAATGTGAAGAAGCAATAATAGAATAATTTGGAAACACTTTTAAGTATATGTGTTTAAAAAAAATCCAGAAAAAGTTGAAGGAGGGAAACAAGTGATGAGACGAAAAAACTCTTAAAATTGCATTGATAGGCAACCAATCTTGGGAACCTCGCAGGTCTTTGCAGCCTTATTCATGCATAACCCTGAAGACGCCAACTCATATATTAAGTCGAGGCTATCTTGTTGAGGCTGATTCTATAGGGATTTCAAGGAAATGACAGATATCATTGAAACTTTAACGCCAA